AGTTGATATAAGGTGCCAACCTTATACTATTGAAGTTAGGTTAGCATCATCATCATCGTAGCCTTTTCCCAATTAATTGGGGTTGGCTACACGAATTCTGATATGCCATTCTGCTCTATTAAAGGCCATATCCTCAATGATGCCATATGTCCCCATATATTTTCGGACTGCTTCCAACCACGCCTTTTTGGGCCTACCCCTTGTCTTTTTCAGTCCTTTCACTTGAACTAACTTGTACCTCCTAACAAGTGTTGTACTTGATCAGTGCCACACATGGCCAGCCCACCTAAGTTTACTTTCTCTCATCTTATCCCCTATTCGTGGCACACTTAAATTTTCCTGAATGGGTTCATTTCGAATTCTATCCCTTCTTGTCTTGCCACTCATCCATCTCAACATCCACATCTCCGCTACACTCATTCTATGAGTATATTGTTTTTTGTTCGTCCAACATTCCGCCCTATAGAGCAAAGCCGGTCTCACAGCTGTCCTATAGAACTTGCCCGTCAACTTCATTGGTATGCGGTGATCACATAAAATTCTAGTTGCACATTTGCACTTCACACACCCAGCTCTAATTCTGTGTGCAATATCTTCCTCAATCTCTCTATTTTTCTGGATTATTGATCCAAGATATCGAAAGTGCGGTCTTTTTTGTGCTTCCTAGTCGTCAATCTTAACTACTTCCGCGTCTTTACTTTTATTATTACTAAACTTGCATTTTATATATTCTGTCTTAGTTCGGCTAATTTCAAAACCTTTGGATTCTAGGGCATCCCTTCGAAGTTCTAACTTTATGTTGATACCGTTTCTGGTCTCATCAATCAAAACTATGTCATCTACGAACAACATGCACCATGGTACCTCATCCTCTAGGTGCCTAGTTAGGTAGTCCATGATTAAGACAAAGAGGTACATGCTCAACGCTGATCCTTGATGTAGATCTATTGTCATTGAAAACTCACTTGTCTCTCCACTAGTTGTTCGTATATTAGTTAGCACTCGATTATACATTTCTTTCACCAAGTCGATGTAGTGTCTGGAAACTCCTTTCTTTTACAACACCCACCCGCCAAATCAAATGTTGAGGTACTTTATCATCAGCTTTCTCTAGATTAATAAATACCATGTGGAGGTCTTTTTCCATTGCCCTAAACTTCTCCATCAGTTGCCTAAGTAGGAAAATAGCCTCTGTTGTTGACCTTCCTGGCATAAAACCAAATTGATTTTTAGATACACTCGTTTCATGCCTTAGTCGTTGCTCAATCACTCTCTTCCAAAGCTTCATAGTATGACTCATGAGCTTAATCCCTCAATAGTTCGTACAATTCTGTATGTCTCTTTTTTTCTTGTAAATAGGTACCACAATATTTTTCCTCCATTGTCTGGCATTTACTTTGTTTTCAACACCTCGTTGAACAACTTCGTCAGCCAGTCAATGCCAATCTCCCCAATGTACTTCCAAACCTTTATCGGGATACCATCAGGTCCTAAATCCTTTCATATCTTCATCCTTTTCAAAGCTTCCTTCACTTATGACATCCTAATCCTACGGATGTATCCATGACCCATTGTATCAACATTTCCTTCTACCGTATGTTCCCATTGTGTTTGTCATTTCATAATTTTTGAAAATAAACTTTCCACTTTTTGTTGACCTCGTCATCCTTCACCAAGACCCTTTGATCCTCGCTCTTAATGCCGTTTTTCTCTCTTATTAAAGTAAGGTACACCTCAAAAAACCTGCCGAAAGATGTTTTGATATTTAAAAATTCTCAAATTAATCATTCAAAATGTATAGAAACAAAAAAAAAACAATATTTTGAGTCATGAAAATAGTGCATCTGGTACTGCATTAACTGGACTATCCATTTTCAAAATTTGTAATCGTTTATTGATCTACTCAATTTGCACCATTTTTTGAGTTTAAATTTCATAATCATGAGCGGCAATAGATTTTGATGACATCAAGGCTCCTCCATCAACGAAAGTGCACTTTTTTGCATAGTTTTAAGATGCACTTTATTTTGATTCGGGTACAGTTTGTATAAGGTTGCAACCTTAAACAATGAAATTAAAGTGTACCCTAAACTTTGTCAAGAGATGCAATTTTGGTGTCAAAAACTCGTAGGATGATGTGAGAATTTAATTTAATTTCTAATTATAAAACTTTAAATACCAAAAATGGTTCAAATCAAGCAGATCTACAAACACATGAAAATCTTTGGGACTTGAAAAATCTCTTCTTTTCTCCATATTTATACATCTTGATGCCGAGATGATCCATTAGATGTTTTTCCAACATCAAAAGAACATTTTTTGAAGGATTTTAGAGGTTCACCTTAATTTTACCTTTTAAAGCAACAACCTTATATAAACTTTTTTCTTTAGATTATTTAAAGTCAATACATACCTCGAGCTTTAAAAATAAGAAATGTTTTAACTAATATAATGGCCGGTAAAGTTATAATGATGTTGTTTCCCACACTCAAGAAAAATTAAAATGGTGTTGTTTCCAAGACCTTGGCCATCACCATTTACTAGAATGATGAATACTGCTGGATAGGGAGCGGGGAACATTGTCTTCATAGCCCATTGACACTTCAATGTGTATTGTGTGTTTATGAACCTATTTTACCTACTTATATGGGACATTTTTTTTTTGTTGCAATATGAAGGCGTTCCTATGAATGAGTCTATGGGTTTGGGTCACATTACAAGTCCGTTGCCTAAATATAAACAATTGAGGGACTTTTTTGCCACTAATAATTAGAGCCTGATGGATTTTATTTGTGTTTGGTGTTTTGCATGACAGATTTTTCTTGAAGCTAAACAATTTAGGAAGGATGTTTTAAAATCTAGATCGATGGGGTGGATCGTTCTTCCGATAAGGTTTTAAAAAATGGCGATTGAGATCGAAATCGCCCGATCTAGAGTTGAGAAGTGGTGGAACCAGTTTGGTTCTGTCCATATATTGGGAACCAACCGGTTCCCTGAAGAAACAACCATTTCACTGTAGGAACCTGCAGTTCTCTCAAGAACCGGCCAGTTCCTACCAAGAACCGTCTCCACTTTTTGTTTTATTTTAATTGAATTCTTAAATTTTTATTGTAGTCAAATTCATTATTCATTATAATTTTTTAAGTTTTTTATTTAACAAAGGTGCTGCAAATCCATGTGGAGGGCCCACATCCATAACAATGCCCATTTATCCTCTCCTCAAATTCTCTCTCTACAATTTTCTTTCCTCTCCTCAAATTCTCTCTCAACAAATTTCTTTCCCACCCAAAACCCATCTCAGCTTCTCTCCTGAGCCATCTGGGCATTGTGGGTTTCTTCAAGATAAGTTTTTAAGTTTCTCTATCATATTTTGCAGCTCGTTTTAGTTCATTGTGCCTCTCTTGCTCTAGTTTCTTGCTTAAAACATTAAATAAAACCCTAAATAAAATGCTATAACATTAAATGTTTTTTATTTTAATTTGGACATTGACTCTACCCTTTAAATAAAATCTAATTTTACTTCACTATAAATAAGAATGAAAATAAAACCTAGTTTACTTGTTTTCTTCGTTTCCTTTTCTTTTCTTTATAGGTTATATGCTCAATATCTTTTCTTCTCCACTCTCAATAAGATCATTTGAGAGAGAGAGAGAGAGAGAGAGAGAGAGAGAGAGAGAGAGAGAGAGAGAGAGAGAGAGAGAGAGAGAGAGAGAGAGAGA